ATCACAGCCGTGACCACAACGTCTTCAAGAAATTGAGTGAAGAATGCTGTAAACTGCACAAGTTCAACTCCAAATCATTCTTGTACTCAGCAACCAATTTTGCTGCAGCTGCTTGAATTTCGTCACAATTAATTGACTCCAGTGTAGACAAGAACCCGAAAAGTGAACAGACTTCCTCATAGGCCTTTAACCGTTAATCCAGTGAACTCAGGAACTGATCAATTGCTGGAAGGAAATTCTGAACCCAAAATTTTTCTGACTGAGAGGGCTGCTTCTGATCGTCCATAATCCAATGGATTGAGTCGTACATTACGTTGACGCTTGCGTGTCTGTGAATAATCCCCAGTTTCTGACATTTCCCTTCCCTTCTTCTCATAAACATGGAAGCAATCTCTTTTTTCTAGTGCAAAACATTCCAATGACTTCAGCATTGCTACTGCTGTGTTCAAATTGAGTTTAGGATCTTGCAATGCATGGTTTGTTGCATCAACTCTGCCAAGAATGTCATGCCAAAACACAGCATAAATAGCAGTCTCTAACTTGCACATCTTATCATGGAGACCATTGGCTTCATAACATGGTTTGCTTGTCTCATTTTCATCTCTAGCTATTTTAGCAAGTGCTTCACGGATTGGGAGATAACCTTGGACAACTGCTTTCACTGCAGCTGCTCGACAGGACCATCTTGTTGTGGAAATCCCCTTTGGCACAGATACCGGGCCAGACTCTACAGTTTTCAATAAATAACTAAGAATTGCATAACGATGTGTAGAAGCTGTGAAGAACACATAAATTGTCTCAAGAAAATAAAAAAAAATGAGATAGCTTCTTGACAACATTCAGCTGCAGCTTTTCCAACCAAGTTTAATGAATGACCAGCACAGGGTATCCAAATTGCATGATGATTTTCAGCTACAACTTTGGCTTGCAGACCATTGTACCTCCCACTCATAGATGTTGCATTATCATAAGATTGCCCACGAAAATTTTGAATGTCAATGTCATTGTCTGCAAGAAACTTCATCAAACCTCCAAACATTTCTTGAGCCTTATGTTGTAGTGGACGTCTCCCCTACAACTGCTTACAACTGCGTAGCCACAGCCACCAGCTGCTACCGTCTTCCCTAGCAACCAAGCGTATCTGCATTCCAATGCCGCCGTATCCTAGCAACCGAGCCAAAAGACCGGTGACTTCTCAGGTTTTCCCAACATGACTCATAGCGGCTGCTGGGTATATAAGCTCTGTCTCTCCATTGAGATTGATTCTGACCATTCTTCTTGAACAAGCAACACCTCCGCCGCTGCCTGGCTGCCCTTCGCTTCTCCTCGCCTGCCTGGCGGTCCTCGTTCCTGCCAGCGAGCATGGCGACCCACCAGCTGTCCTTCTCCGAGCTTCCTCACCACACGGCACCTCCAGCACCAGACTGTCTATCATATAACTTATAATATACAAGAAAACCACATTAGAGTTTCCTTCCATCTTGAGTGCTAGACAACATTAATATCTCGATATCCCTACAATGGTGACTCCCGGAGATTAGCACTCACACAGGATGGAGGAGACACTGATCACGCTCCCAGTCTTCAAGCAGACACCGGCTCCTCTTCCTGCCCCAAGCACCACATCCTACGACCCCAGCACACCCGTCCTGCCTCAGATGCTGACCCAGGCCCACACACCCCAGCAGGCGCATCTGACGACTCAGTACCTGCCGTGAGGGAAGCACACAACATCCATCGCCTCCACACCCCCTCTTTTCTCCCTCAGGTACTCCCTGCTAATGTCCTGCACCCTGCTGCTGTCGTGGACCCAGCTGCTGTCACGAGCCCTAATCCGCTTCTGCTGACGCAGCCCCTGCTCCTGACCCAGGCCCACACACACCCCAGCAGGCGCATCTGACGACCCTGTACCTGTCGTGAGGGAAGCACAACATTCATCGCCTCCACACACCCTTTTTCTCCCTTCTCCCACAGATAGTGTGTATCTAGACAGTTGTATTTCAGCGATCGGCTCATCACGCCATCGCCGTTGTCTCACATGAGGCATGCACCGCCCGGTCTGCCTCACATGTGCTAAGCAACTCTACAGACAACAAGTCTCCTACACCGCCTGGAGGGGAGGGGGAGTATTGTAGTGGACGACTCCCCTACAACTGCCTACAACTGCGTAGCCACAGCCACCAGCTGCTACCGTCTTCCCTAGCAACCAAGCGTATCCGCATTCCAATGCTGCCGTATCCTAGCAACCAAGCCAAAAGACCGGCGACTTCTCGGGTTTTCCCAACATGACTCATAGCGGCTGCTGGGTATATAAGCTCTGTCTCTCCATTGAGATTGATTCTGACCATTCTTCTTGAACAAGCAACACCTCCTCCTCCGCCGCTGCCTGGCTGTCCTTCGCTTCTCCTCGCCTGCCTGGCGGTCCTCGCTCCCGCCAGCGAGCATGGTGACCCACCAGCTGTCCTTCTCCGAGCTTCCTCACCACACGGCACCTCCAGCACCAGACTGTCTATCATATAACTTATAATATACAAGAAAACCACATTAGAGTTTCCTTCCATCCTGAGTGCTAGACAACATTAATATCTCGATACCCCTACAATGTCCTTGATTTGGCAAGAATTTCACAAATCTCTCAACAGGTGTGTCATGCTCCATGTATCTGATTATCAGAGTTAGTTCATCAATATGGCCTTCATCAGGATCTAGAGAAATTGAGTAATATTTTGAGAGCTTTATACGTGAGATAATTTCGTTCGGTACTTCATTGCCCGTTAGTCTGACAATTTATTCACAGATGGTTGAAGACAAATAGTTTGTATGACCAGTGCCACGATTAGCATGATTCTGGACGTGTTGCCTGAGGAAATCATCATACTCGGCCAAAAGCTCTAGTAATCCCAAGTAATTTCCATTATGAGGAGATCCAATTATTTCATCATCTCCACGAAGAGCTAGCCCTCTTTCACATATAAATTTAAGCACGCTGATCAATCGCCTTGGAAGACTACACCAATACTGCTCAATTTGACCCACATGCGTAGTTAGTTTAGAATCTATACCTCCAGCTCCCTTTGCACGACTTGCTGCTGACAAAACTGCTTGAATGTGGTCCTTTGATTGCTCATGGACAACAAGCCTATTAGCATGCTTCCAGTCGCAGAACCCATCAGATGTGAATTGAGATCTTGAAACACCCATTAGCTTGCAAAAGAAGCAGTAGACCCGCCCATTTGCGGGGGAGAAACAAAGCCAAGAACGCTTTACAACTTCCCCATTTCGATTCCTTTGCTCAAACATGGCTGGTGTGCATTTGCGACTGACATTGTTTGCCTCTTTTTGTACTGCTGATTTTGCATCCAAAAATTTAGCATCACTGTGGAGACTCTCAGAACCGTTCGCAGCCCAATAATCAATAAATTGTTTTGTCATATGTTATGACCATAAGCTTATGTCAATGTCATAATTTTGTGTAGTTGCCATTTGCACTTCAGGAAGCACATGCTTTGATTCAATTTTAATCTCCTCGGCAGTCTGGTCATTTCTTCCAGTAGATAGGTTAGAGCTGCCATATAAAGATGAAGCTCATGCATCACATGCAGGTACTTGTTCTGGTTGCCTTGAAGATGAGCTTGCAGAAGCACTGACTAGATGTTCTGAAGCTGATGGACGAGTGAAGAATTCAGTCAGTCGACGTGTTTTTGTAAATTCTTTAGCTTCTCTCTCAGCACGTTCTTTAGATGTCTTTCTCTTTGCAGCACCACTTTCGTAACGTCGTACACCTGTGTCTGTCCATTCCACTCATTTCTGCAACAATAATTTTCTGTCAACAAAGACGGACACCTAATTTTCGTTATAATTAAAAACGTAACACAAATTGGCCGTTTGCTTTTTGTTACTTTATGGAGAGGTTAATTGATTACTTAACTCCCTGGAACATTTGGACGCCAGCATATTTTTAAAATTTGGAATTTTGGGTAAGATTATGACCTCTCCCTCTGACTTCTCCCAGTCTCACCCCTAAAGCTCGCCGTCGGTTCGCCTCCTTTTCACCATTGACTATACTGTGTTATACTGTATATACTGATCGTGGACCTGACAGAAACCGTCATTGACATAGTTAATGTACTCAAAATACATAAAAATAACTCAACTTACTTGCAGCCAATCGACCTGGAGTATCTTAAAGCACAATTATATATGTGAACGTATATTCTAAGAGCACACCCACCCACACTCAAGCACAAGCATCAATCGACTCTCTCTCACTTGCACTCTCACTGTACATTTGCAAGACATGTTGTAGGAAATGACAACTGACAAGATCATTCATCACTGAGTGGCGACAACTTCACTCAACAAGCACACATGACAATTCTCTCTCTCATTTTACATCTGCAAGACATGTTTATGTCTACTCGTGGGAAGTTCACGAATCATGGGCGACGCAAGTCTCCTCTTTAATCGACAGACACATGACATCCGATGTGCAGATACTACACGACCCAACCCCCTCCGACCGACTGTCAACAAACACAGCGCCCTGATGGTATTAGTAATGGAAGTGATAATGAAAAAAATATTTTATTGTTTCTTTTTAATCTCAATTTCGTTATTCCATGTAGTTAATTTTTAATAAATATATGTTTGTGGAATTCTAAATATATTATTAGCAACACAAACAATAGCATTCATTAAAAATATACAGTTCATAGGAAAACCAGGTATTCATGAAATTCAAGGAGTAGCTAGCCTAATTTCTATCACGCTTCTTGCTGAACATAGTTTTACGTGATGGAATAGATAAACATGAATTTTAAAGAATGAAAATAAGAATAATTCAAATGAATAAACAAATAAATAAAATATTGTAATATGTGGATGCCCCCAGATTGTGGAGGCCCCTGGGCAGCTGCTCACTTTGCCCACTCCTGAATCTGGCCCTGCTCACTACTTAATATCGAACGGACGTTGATTCACGTCTACTGTATTTACATAGACGCCGTCCCTTTCTCACCACACTCATAAATAGTGGAACTTACTGCTGATCTACACTCAGGAATTATACAAATAATACTTTTTAATAAAATAAGAAACCTCAATTGGGTTTCGTTACTAAAGCCCAATATAATAAATATGTGAACCAACCTGGTTAACTTGGAATTAACCAACTGGTTCATTGGTGGCAGCGGTGGGAAAGGATTATTATCAGTCTACATACCAAGACGTCAGTGTTTTGTGAAAACAAAAAAAACAAAAAACAGTGACGCGTTACAAACAATCCGAGAGTTAAGACTATATCCCGTATTGAGACGATATTTCGTGAGTGCTACTCATTCTGTCGCCCAAAGATGGTGCAGAATTATTCCCAATAACCGCAATTGAGTTATTGTTGACATAAAATCCCTGTTAACGACAAGTGAGAGCAGTCAGGAAAGTGTCTGTCAGCACCTGACCATTCTGTGGAAGGTATTCCCCTGTCGTGAAGTGGATTCACCTGTCGTTTGTCATGCAGCGCCCCCCCGACTCATAGTGGGAGGGAAGAGTGCATCTGTGGATAGCGTTTTCTGTGAAGACTTCCAACAGTGGGACTATAACTTCTCAAGTGATTGTTACAACTAACATTCATCTCACCATATACACAGTTGGTAAGGGTAGAGGAATTATGTTCTCCCCATTACTGTGGCATACTAGTTTAGAAGAAGAATATATATATATATATATATATATATATATATATATATATATATATATATATATATATATATATATATATATATATATATATATATAACGTAAGTGTAAATATGAAATAGCAATCAAAGATATTGTTATATGTGTTACATTTACTACTACAAGGAGGATGAACTGTTACATCTGATACACGTTGACTTTATGTCCATAACCAATATTGAGTTATTAAAAGTTGCTGAATTATTGCAACAATCCTGTGAGCTGAAGTGAACATTAGTTTCTGCAAATGATTCGTTCACTGCCCGGGGTGTGACAGGACATGACTGCAGTTGTTGTGACTACTCATCAATCAACATCCTGTCAACAAAATTCTTTCGTATGGCGTGAATTGTACTGCGCACATCATTGTCATTCCTAAAAATCCCATTTAATTCATATTACGCTATATAACATTCAAATGCACCGCGCTTGTAGAACCTCAGAAAACGGGAAACATTGATAAAGGACAACTCACCTACTCAATGTTCCTAGACCTTGTGTTGTATTGTACCCAGGTACAGTTATATCATATTAAGTGTATGTATTCATAGCATTAAGGAGAACTCAGGGTATGCATAAGATGAATGTTAAAGTCCAGTTGAGCCGGACTAGTGTACTGTAAGACTAAGTGTGGATCAGGGTTTGAAGGTCATACTATTTACGTCTGTGAGCGTGTAGCGAATATAACTTCCACAGATATCATATGAAAATACATGAGAACAATGATCTGGAAAAAGGATAAATGTATCAGAACGATGTGAGGTGTTGGAAGTGATCCAGAAACTATACTTGAAAGGAAATATCTTGTATGCGTCGGTATGAACTTAATACACCTCGTATCCTCACGTGACATATACCCACGACAGGTACAGTGATCAGAGAATCTTATGTCTGTGTTCAAATAGTGCAAGGTGTGAGAGGAGGATCCCTCATTACAGTTTTAAGTGAAGTTGATACACCCCCGCCATGAACATTCAGCCTTTGTTTCAAGGCGCGTCATGTACCCGCCTTGGGTGCCACGTGATATTATAACCCCATGAATTTACCCAAGAACTAGCAAACCAAGACCTTACCTTAGTGTGTAATTTAGGATTAAAATATGTGTTTATAAGGCATGAGTGACAATATACCGAAAAGTGTTCAGGTGAGAACCATAAGAAACAAAAGTGCAGATTAAAAATTGGAAACTGTAGGCCTACGTGATGAGGAGCGGCGGGGCAATGCCCTCAGTCTTCCTCGTTCTACCGTCACCTCAGGTCAGTGTCCTAGCGGGCTATATCCCGCCCCATAATTAAGGTTTATAAATAGAAGTTATAACAGTTTAAAGCTTTGCCGGATATATAAGTGTAATAGGAATGTGTTAAGGGGTGGGATAACCGCCCGTCAGGCATTATTTCTCAGTCTTCCTCGTTCTACCGTCACCTCAGGTTCCATGCGGTCGGAGTGCCTTGCCGCCCGGCCGCCATTATCCCTTTGAGCGTCACAACAGGTGGCGACTACTCCCCGCTATGCCAATCCACTGTGAACCTGTGGATTTCCAGCGCACCACTCCAAATGAATAGTCACAAATAAGGAGACCGTGAGAAACTCTGCGGTCGTCACTTGGAGCGATCTATAATACCAGGCGTAGAAATAGTGCTGGTATGTCTCTAGGTGAAGCCCTCGTCTTTACCCACCGAGGGCGGTGTGCGAACGAGGTGCCTGTTGAGTATACCTAAAAGTCACAAGGAGTCCCATACTTGCAGGTATGGAGTGTAACATGTGTGTTGAGATAGTGCTACTATGTATGATAACCGACGGTGCTATATTCCATACAGGTGGAGCAGTCTGATGTGTTAAGGGATAGTGTAAGAAGGAATGACCGAGGTAAGGTGGTCACAGATTGTTATGCAATAAGTAGGTGGATGACACGCCATCAATGTAAGAGTCTGGGGCCCATCTGGGTAACCACACTTTCGTTGTTCTTCTGAGGAAGGCCAATTCATGTATATGTTTTTTACCAGTATGTTTTATAAGGAATAAATCAATTAAGACATGTTATGGTTTCACCCTTCTTTACCCTTATCGATCTGGTTAATGGAAAACCTAACCCAATGCCTAGTCCACTCTGCACGCGAGCTAACGAGCTACATGCTGTCCAGAGGGGGTCTGGTGGCAGCGACCCTTAGAAATTAAGATTAGAGTTAAGTTATCCCCTTAGACTTAGTGACCCCAGAATCTGGCAGTATAGAATAACCCCCAGCTACCAGCACCCCAGCACCCCCCACTAGTGATGACACATCTCAGGTCTGAGAGATGGTCTCAGCATTCTGAGGCATGATATGGTGGATGATCTAGTGTAACCAGGAGTGGTAGTTTGCTGTACTCAGAAGTTTCGTGAAAATTGACCCAGTCACCGGACCTTGGAATCAGCAGTGTCCCCTGTGAGTGACACACACACAAGTCTATGGGATTGCGGCAATAATTTCACATTATCAAGAAATTCTAGGAAGGATTCTTCAATCAATCCTACAAGGAATAGTTAGTATCTAGCTATACATTAAATATATACACACATTTACATGTTCGAGACATAACTCCACATTGATAGGACATTGATAGGTTATGTCATTGTTGTAAGTGCTTACTTATTTTAATTTATATTGATGTGAAATAATTCCTGGTATTTATTAGACATAGAAAATGTGGAAATTTTCTTT